CCTCAAGAGTGGCAAACTGTTGAAGGAGTTCAAGGGTCACACCTCCTTCGTCAACGAAGTTATCTATAGCTTCGATGGACACCAACTCATAAGCGCCAGTTCCGACGGAACCATCAAAGTATTGATCATTTGATCCCATTTTTATCACATTTGTAGTAATCGTTTGTCTAATTGTTTGCATAGATATGGAGTCTGAAGACAACGGAGTGTTTGCATACGTTTAAGTCGACCGCTATAGTGAGCACCGGGACTGTCGACTTAACTGTCAATTCAATTCAATTGCTGCCTAAAAATCCAGAAAATTTTCTGGTCTGCAGTCGTAGTAATACATTGAGTATTATGAATACGTCGGGACAGGTATGTCATGGACGGCTCTATAAGTCTTATAACAAAAATAGTAATTTTATTATCCATTGAATGGTGAGAACAGATCGTAAAGAGCTTTACAAACGGCAAACTCGAAAGCGGAGACTTCGTGTGCTGTCGGGTGAGTCCGAGAGGGGAGTGGGTGTACGCCGTGGCCGACGACTACAATCTGTACTGCTTTAACGCCAACACAACAAAACTGGAGAAAATACTGCCCGTCCACGAGAAGGACGTCATAGGACTGACCCATCATCCGCACCAGAATCTGATCGCCACATACAGTGAAGAGGGTTTACTCAAGATATGGAAGCCTTGAGTGGGTCTCCGGTTAACTATTCAAATGTATTTCACTTTTCGTTTCATCCATTTTTAGATATATTTGTATTTACTGTATATTTATTACTAATCATTTATTTTGGAAATTAAATTAATTTTTTGAAATTGATGTCAACTTATTCTGTGAATTTTTTCGATATGAATGGGAGGGAGGGGGCGGTAGGTGTATATAAAGTTAATACCGGTTAGTCTTCTATGGAAACCTTTAAATATGTTTGAAATTGACATTAATTTCCTTAATAATGAAATCAGAGGTGGTTTTGTTGAAAGGTTTTCCAATGTATTGATTTATAGTATAATTGGAATATGATTTGAATATTTTATCAATTTAATAAGAATATGTTGTAACTTGATGAGTTAATAAGTGTTTAAAAATCTAAATCTAGACTTAATTCAATATTTAAGTCGATCGGAAATCCTATGGCATGTGCACTAAAGCGGAAGCTTTAAAATGATTTATCACTAGTAATAAGAGGTTTGTCTCAAAGGAAACGTTGGATTTGTAATAATTTTTCGTAAAAAAGTTTATACATTTTAAATGAGAAAGTTATTATTAACAAAGTTTAAGTGCAAATTATGTTAAATGTAATATTGTTTATAATAATATTGAGATTCAATTCCATTCAAATGGATTGCGGGTTCCCAGCCCTCCCGGAGTCCACTAAAATCAGTATTTATAAGAAACGTTACGAAGAGTACAGTTTTATACAATACGAGTGCGATTCTGAGGACAAACTACTTGTCGGGAACTCCACCTTACGTTGTATTAACGGCAAATGGATCGGCAATTTACCAAGATGTGGTAATTAATCAAATATTATTTTATTTTAGGTTTATTATACAGTGATATTTGCCAGAAAATGTAATTTCTATACCATTTTCTAGCACTTGAATCCAAATCGATGCCTAAATTGTTAATAATACCCGACTTAATGACCGGCAAAAAGATTTATAGGTTTTTTGGTTCATTTTTTAAGGGATGTTATAAACCA